TTTTTTTTTAACTGATGACATGACAGATTGGCAATTTCTTGTTCACTGCCTCATGAACACCCAGCAGTGTCATCCCCAGCAGCCACTGCTTTGACTTGTCTTAATGACTCCACTGAAAGTTTTACCATTGCTGCCACTCAGGTATGTTTTATTTTTTTCCCCATCACAAACTATTCTTTACCGAAGAATGTTAATTAGTAACTGATAGATATAAAGATTGCCAGCGACAGCCCATTAATTCCATTTACTTTAATAGGACTTAGAACTTAGCTTGCAGTACAGCTGTATTCCGACTGGATTATAAATGTAATTTTTTGCACCATTAACTTCCCTGATTAATCTTAGACAGCAAATACATAATTATCAAGGGAAAAAGCCACCCAGTACTTGCAGCAAGGAGTCCAGCTTTCCAAATGTTTCTTTTGCAGCCTTCTTATTAACATCATGGTAAATAGTGTAGGTTTTTCTAAGGAAACTACCGCTTTCCATTGCTTAATGGTTAACCCATGCTAGGTATTTACTGCTTCAGAAAGTAATCTGTGTGTGTGTGTGTGTGTGTGTGTGTGTGTGTGTGTGTGTATGTGTGTATGCACACGCACATGTAGACAGCACACAGAGGCACACACAGCCTTGCTTACCTACTGTGTTTGCTTTGTGGTGAGTTCACCTACAAGGGTTTGCATAGCAATAATACACTGTTAGTTTACCTAGGCAGCCCTCTAGTTTTGGACTTAGCGTCCCTTGCGAGTTCTGCCTCTTGAGCCCTTTGTGGAAAACTGCCTCCTACCGCTGTGACATTTCAGGGGTGAAGTTCCCTGGCAAGCATTATAGCACAGCCAGCCATGTTCCCGTTGAATGTATGACTCAGGATTCAGCATATTTGCAAAACCAGAACAGACTCAAATAGGCAGAGGGCATTCAAATGAAAAAGAAACACAGTGGGCTGAGATTAAAATACTTTTGCTTGCCATTCTGTGCTACCTAATGCTGAAAGGACAGGCCTAGGTGCTGAAAGAAAACTGCCCTAGCATCCAAGCCTGTACTCAATGACTGCTTTGAATGAGACTAATTATTGGCTTGTTAGGATAAAAGGGCACTTCATTAGCACAATGCTTCCTGCTAAGGCAGCTAGAAAAGTCCCACCCCAATTGTATATCTATTCACAGAAAAGAGTCACTAAGAAGACACAGAGGATATGGGGGAAGACAGGGTGAAAGTTTAAAAATTTTTCAAAAAGAAGATTCTCCTCTAATGAGCTATGATGACTCATTTGAATAGCAAACAGCCCGATTTTAGCCATTGTTCCTCGGTTTTGAACCAAGAGGGAGGAGACGCAGTGCCTAGATTTTTCTGGCCTCAATTTAAAATACAGAGTATCCAGATGTCTGACTACGTTTGTTTTAAAACATAAGCTTTCCCATGCTGTATTTCTGATGTACTATTCATTGCTTTCTAAAGTAACTTTGCCCAACGCTGCAATACGTGCAAATGTTTTGCTAGCAGGCTTCTGAGTTCTTACAGCGCTAATTCCAGGGGCTTTGTGATCAAGTGACACATACTTTTGTGTCACATTTATTAATGTCACGCATTGAAGAGAGAGACTGCTTGTTGGTACACAGAACAGGATGCCTCCCCTATATAAACATGAAGTAGTCACCTCCCTTGGTTCTTTCTCAGGTACAAGGCAGGCGAATTACTAGGGGTTACAATTACACGAGTTCCCGTACTCTCTTTACACAATGGAGTTAGCAGAATTCCCCCTATCCATTAGATCTAGAAGATAGTGGGTCTTCTCCATCATTTCCTCAGCAGGTCTGGCCTAAGAACCACTAAAGCGCTTTTTAGGTTTTGCAAACCTTACTGCCATACTCCAGAAAGACAGGCTTGTTCTCTTCAAGGAATTTCTAATGGAATAGAGTCCTTTTTACAACATCATTAGTGGTAAGCAGGAGAATAATGTGATCATCAGATTTGTGTTTTGTCAGTGTTGCTTTGGCTGGATAATAGGGTGTGCATTTAGAAAGGAAAAACTACAGGCATGCCTGGCTGGATCTAAATATGTATGTACTTATACGCATATACACATACTTGTACTCATGCGCATCAAGGTTGAAGCCAGAAGACATTAAGTTTACATTTCAAGTCTTCTCAACTATATTGCTTTCTAATAGGTAGACTATTGTTCTTTTACTGATGGGCTTTTTCCTTATTTAAGATTACCAATCCTTGCTAGAGTTTCCCAGTTTATACGTAAAGGGCCTAAAGCATATTAATTTCTATGATATGATTTTATACTTAAAAGAGTACATTTCTTGCTCACTTACTATGCAATCGCTGGACGTAAATATATTTCAGATACCACTCTTTGTTTTACCCAATTCGTTCTGATTAGAGTGCTGTATTAGTGTGATAGGGCTGCTGCAACAAATTACCACACAACGGCTTTTATCTTAAAACAAAAGAAATGTATTTTCTCACAGTTCTGGAGGCTAGCAATGTGAAATCAGGGAATAGGCAGGGTTGGTTCCTTCTAGGACTCTAGGAGAGAATCTTTCCTTGCCTCTTCTAGCGTCTGCTGGCTCTCAGAAACCCTGGACATTCCTTGGTTTGTGGCCGCATCACTCCCATGTCTGCCTCCATCTTCACTTGTCCTCTGTGTCCTTGTGTGAACTTGCCCTCTGCCTCTCTCTTAAAAGTACACTCATATGAGCTGTTTTTCGATTTGTTTTATGGTAAAAAAAAAAAAAAATTAAAAAAAAAATAACAGGTTAGGTTTAAAGGATAGAGAAACATTTGTGATTTGTAAGACTAACCTCTTTTTTCTAAAGGTCCTTTTAGGAATGAAAGTGTTTTGTAAAGGTCATTTTAGGAATGAAAATATGTTTTGCTGTGGCTGCTTATTTAGCATTTAGGGTCCACTTGGATAATCTAGGGAAATCTTATCTCAAGACCCGTAACGTAATTACATTGCCAAGACCCCTTTCCCAAATAAGATAACATTTACTCTCTTACTATATATAAAGAAATATTCACAGGTTCCAGGGATTAGGACATGGGCATATCTTTTGGGAGGTTACCATTCAGCCCCCTACAGAGGAGGAAAAAACCCATTATACCAGGAATCTAGGCTTCTATTCACAATGAGTGATGCATTATTTAATTCAGAATTAAAATCCCACAAATGGAGAACTAGAAGGGATTTTAAGGATTTGCGAGGCACAGGAAGCTTATTGGCCACCTTCCTGGCTGTACACAAGTTCTTAAGAGCGCAGGACAGAGAGAAGACCTGTTACCTTTTCCTTTCTGTCAATATAAATCAAAGCACATTGGCGGTAGAATACACACCTTAGCAGTACAATGAGGTGGCTAAGAGTGTTTACTCCTGGGTTGGCTCTGCTTCACACTCTCTTGCTGTTTGAACCTTGGGCAAGATTATTAACTTGATCATGCTTTGGGTTTTTACAACTATAGAGCAAAGGCAATAAAAGTCCCTTTTTCTTGGGGTTGTTCAGACGATGTAGTGTTGAAAGTGTTGGGGTCACAAGAGCCACTCTGTAACATTAGCTGTCACTAGCAAGTATCTTGTCCAACTACCCCGCTTTATACATGTGCACAAGAGGTCCTAAGAGTTGTGACTTGTATCAAAACTAGTAAACAGGTCACACATATTTAATATTTAGTAACAGAGCTAGACTCAAACCTATCTCCCTGGAACCCAGAATCCATATGACACCCCCAGTTCTTGCCAGAAAATTTTCATGAAGATCTTAGCTGATTGTTTTGAGCACATGGGATTTGAGGTACCTGTATTAAATAGAAATGAAAAGTTGGTGTCCATAGTGGCTAGAAAAGCCAGAATTGTCTATTACTCAACACATTAAGGCCTGTAAACGTGAAAATTATTATTGATGGCATAGGTTTCAAGGACAGAAAGGAGACTGCTGAAATTCAGGCTCTTGCAAAGAATGAAAATATCAGGTTTGTATTTTTAAAATATAAATGGGCAAAATTGATGTGCTGTAGTGATTTAATCAGATGTGGCACCTATTGACTTTTTTTGAGGCCTTTCAAAAAATAATCAGCAAAGGGGAA